TTCTTTCTGTCTTTGCTTCTGTATTAGTATACTTTTCTACTGCAAGAATCTAAAGAATGCCCCTGAGTGATGTTCACGATGTGAGAGAAATCCGTCTTTTCGTCTATAAATTACATATCCAAGACAGCAATGTCCATTAGTCATTAATATATATGATACGAAATCTTGCTCAACAATGAAATAACCTAAAATATTCCGATCGCTAAATCTGAATTTTATCCAGGGGCATACTCTCCAGCTCTCGAGTGTATATGTATGCCCAGATACGTACCCTTACGGAGACTTTAATATCGATTAATTTACGTATGTCGAAAACGATTAACTTGATGCAGAAATCTAGCGAGTATCTAAGCAAATTTTTCGAGGTGTCTAAACTACGGAATTGAGGTAGAATTACACCATGGTAAATTCGAGACGATGTACACACATGCGAGGAGATTACGATTCGCTCACAAACTTCGTTATTATACTCGATCGATGGAAATGGAAAAGAAGAACCGTTCTCAGACTGTAATGGCGACCTTCGGTAAACCATACACGACCGTGGATACTAGCGTCTAATCTCGAGTCGTTATTATTACTGTTATCATTATATACCTAACGATATTATCGATACATGTTACACTTACGTACTGACTCTATGCAACGACTAGATTCGTAATGATCTATGCGTACTATCACCACTTTGGTTTATGCTATATGCGATGAGAACTCCACTCAATAGGAAACAACGAAGTCGATCTGACGCGAAAATCTATCGCCAGCTCCGGAATCAACGAACGTGTTATTAAACAACGAATCATTAATTAAAGAATATGTAAATAAGACTCTTAGTTTCAAGAAAAAAGATGATCATGTTGGGCTCGAGTAAAACAGGGGTTTGGAAATAAAATAACGTTTGTAACAAAAGTTTGTTAAAAACACTGGACACTTATTAAATTTATTACTTTTTATAATGAAATTTGGTCAATTTTCTAATAAAAAGTTAACGTTCGATAACACGTATGTTTAGACGAACCTCGAGACCCGGCGACCGATTTTCGCAGTTCAGTTTCTAGCTGGCCCACTAACTGACGCGATCGGATAATGATAGAAACTAAACGCTTACGTCGAACTCACTGCCGTTCCCTTAGAAAATATTTGTGCCGTTTTATACAAAAGAAAAAACTTAAGCTTAACCCCTTAACTGACGAACTCTATACGCTAAAGACCGCGATAAGGTATGATACAGAGTTTGTACAAACGCGTCGCGTACGTGTTACGACTTATAACAACGTGTCGGTATTAGATTCCTGCGAGGTTACGCGGACACTTCACAGAACGCGGATTCGCGAATATTACACTCTAGGAACATCTTGAGGACATCGGTTTCTGCCCTCCGGTGCGAGGCCCTTCGTTTCCGGTTTTTTTTTTCGACGCCTCGTTGATCTACCGTTTCTGTGAACCTTGCCGATTCTAAAGTTACGATTTAAAGGGCCGATCCCGCAGTCGTTGACGAAGAAAAGTCGACTCTTACGACGAAGAGGACATATCCACGATCAGCGTACATCGGTTAAGTATAACGCCTCGACTCTGCGTCGTCGATAAAAGTGGCCCGTTTTCCATCCACAAAACATCTCTGTGAAGTACATCACATTCTTTTGTGCCAACTCTGTATAATACATACAGAATCGATCTTCTATATACTTGTAAGTACGAGAAATGCATGACTGGTCGACGTTATTCTCGCGCGAGCTTAATGCTGTATATACAGACGTTCGTTTGCGTTCGCTATAGAATACGCAAGATCGCTTTAATTGTAATTTCCACGGTAGAACGATTAGTTTAATCGAAAGCACTGCTCGGAGCGTCCCTGGACACGACTCGTTCCTCGTGGAACGCTTGTCCAGCGTCGCTCCGTCGTCTCGTACTCGCGAGGAGATCGCGAGAATTCTTAATATCACCGTACAAAGTGTCAGCTGACGTGTTTGCAAGAGTCCGCGTTCTCGACGTTGATTCACGCGCGAACGAAGAACTCCGCGGTGTCGGTTATTATTTATACATTATGACTAGCGTATTTCTTTGTAACCATTAAACACGTAACATTATGCAACTTACACGTTCTATGTATATACCTGATCGAACGCGGATCGGTTCGACGTCCGGTACCGGTCTAAAATACAAAAGTGACGAGCGTTCTTCTTGCACGGGATCGTTCGCGTCAGCATCTGACGTGGACTGATTTGTTCGAATCGGTGACATCGTTTGGAAGATAATCCGTTCGTTTCGTTTTTTTTTTTTATTTCTTAGAGGGTTCAAAGACGTATTACAATAACGATCGTGTTTCGTTTGTGGCACTACGAAGGAAGCTTCGCTCCGACTGGCCGATTCGACGACGCCGTTCTCAAGGGCTCGAAGACGCCGCGTGGACGTGAAATGGATCGCGTTTCGTCGAATCGTGCAGCCGGCAGGCTTTTGTGTCTAACGGTGGTGCTCGAACCACGAGATTTCTTGTCTTTGCCACAAAGTACGTCCCTGACCGCCCTGCTGCCGCACCCAGGTCACCCTCAACAACCATCTCCTGCCCCTTAGTGTTAAGCTGTGCTCGGTGATTCAACAAATCGCAAAAACTGCAGCTGGCGTCGTTCTTAGACTACGGTGCTCGAGTGTAGAAAGCGTGAATCGGTCGGTCTCTTCCCGAACAGTACTGTAGGGAGCCGAATCTTCTAAATCTGTATTTTGATTTATTTTCGGGACAGAATCAGTTGGCCTCTCAGCATCATAACAAGCTCAATTGTTTCTGTCCCAACAGTAACGACTAATATCGAGGCAATTCTTTCGCAAGTTTTACGATTGAAACTGTTCGAGAATTCGGGGCGCAACAGAGTACAGTATTAGGACCCAAGTAGATCCCAGACAAAATGTCGGAACACTTTTATATAATAGGACACGATTCACACACCCGGAACCTCGAACAGCGTCAACAATACTTCTCGACAGTTCCCTGCAGTCGAGACTTCAGATTCCACGCTTTTTCACGCACGGCAGATGTACATGTAAGCAGGACTGCCCTCTCTATTGAAGTGTATAGTGTCCTGCCAAAATGCTAGTTAGCAAAATATTCATTCGACGTATGTAGCTAGATATTGAAAGAAAATACTCGACAAGCGCTACGTTTTCGCAGCACGTCGCGTCAACGACAACGAATCAATGCATCCGATATTGATCACCAGCGGGAATTTGTTCGCTCTGCACGTTCAGGAATTCTTTGAAGATCGAAGTTGGTGAGACGCGTAAGTGGAAGTTAGCCTCTAAATATTTCACCCCTAAAAGGCACTCCAATCGACAGTCCGAATTATTGTCGTTGCACCAACTTTTCTACGTGGAAGAACGATTCCATCGTGCAGAGCACGTTTGTCCAAGCGTTTCGTTACAAACGGAGATACTTTCGATCGAAATAAAGGTCTGTACAATGTTCGTCGTTAACGACGAAACGTGCCGCAAGCTGCGTTCAATTTTCTTTCGCTGCCACTCGAGCCAACCCGTTCGCGTTTCAAGTTACAAACGAATCGCTATGAATATCCTTGGCTCCTGCAGTGGCAGCGAAATATTACACTAGAGCGATTTACATAGTGCCGTCGATGAAAGAGCTAGTGGCGCTGATTATTGCTTCGACAAAAGGCTTCAAGTTTAAAGCAGCGTAAAAGCGATTCTTGCCGCGGACATCGATTAATTGAAGCTGTCCCCTGTTCGCATTAGACATCAACTTCTCTGATATGGCTGTGTTATTGCCATTGGAGAGATTGAATTTCATCGTGCACTGAATGATCTCTGAACAATTTCATCACCGATTTAGAAAGATTCGCGTTTTACGTTCTTCAGGATTATCTGCACGTTGAAACTCAAGTGGAAAGGTATTCGCTAAATCGTGTGCCCCGAGCGACGTAAATTCGTGTTTCGTTTAGTCGTCGGGTCGATCGTGATTGAGGTGATTACAGTTTAAACGTACGCATCGATATTAAAAAATTGATTGCACTGTTCGTTGGACATTTTTTTTTTTTTATTCCCAACGAAGCGAGGAAATTAATGATTTAGAAAATTCGTGAAGTCGGTACTTTAGCGTATTATAAATCGCTGCAAATGAAAATTGGAATAAATAATTTGGTTTCGTTCGTGACGTAACGCGTGCGTTTTCGTGTAAAAAGCGTGCCTAAATTCGTCGTCGGTTTCCTTAGTTCTCGTCGTGTATCATGGCAGTCACGTTCAGCGACTTGAGATCGCTTTTCGTACGCGGTGTAATTCGAGCGGTAAGCCTGCGAATTTTCTATATTGAGCAACGCAGAAATGTGTACTGAAACTAATCGCTGGAACATAGCTTGTGCTCGAAGCAATTACAATTGAAACGTACACGTCGACGATCTACTGTTCACTTTGAAAATGAAGCGTTCTCAAAGATCAATCGTTGCATAAAAAATTCTGTACGTTTCGAATATACTGTAATCAATTCCGCGGTTAGCTTATCACCCTATTTAATTTCTTATTCGATCACGAAACCAGTTTCAACTGGCCCTGTAGCACCAATGTTAATCTCTTGATTCGAGGTTTTAATTAAAATTTCAATCGACGTTCGTTTTAGTTTACCTTTGAGAAGAACGACGTTTCGTATTCGTTGTTAACATGCGTTAAAAGTTGAACAAAATCTCGAGAATTTGTGCTCTGTTAAAGACGTTCTCGGAGGAAATTTATTTCAGTTGTATCGAATGAAGAATTTTGTATTTCGAAGGGACTTTTCGCGTTACGATATTGTTAATTAAGATACTAAATCCAAAAAGCAATCAATACACTTCGAAAAAAATATTTTAGGCGATACTAGTTGCATGAAAAAGTTCAAAGTTCTTTCAACGATGTAAGATTGAATTATAATTCAGCATCAACGAGACTGTTTAAAAATCTTATGAAATGTATTATTAAGTATTTTCGTTTGATACTCCTAAGACTCTGCTTAAATTATTCTGTGGAGGACAAATAATATTGAAATGATTATAATAAATAATTATAATTATAGAAAATTAGAAATATTAAAAAGTGAACGTGTCAGATAGTCAATATCTATCAATATATTTAAAAACTACTGTGGCACATGGTCAAGATGAATGGTGGTCGATAAATAAATATTACGAGATTTGGTGGAAGCAAGACACGACGAAGTAATGAATGAGCATGGCAGATTTTTAAAGAAAACATGAATATTTTAAGATGACGTTTTCCGGTTAATTAAAATCAAACTGCCTCGTCAACATTAATATGGGTCTGCTGTTATTGGTTACGAAGCTCCAATTTCGTTGATTCCATTAATAAAAATAAGAATTTGCACAAAGATCCGCAGTGTACTTGTGATTATATCAAGAACTGAATAGATCTTTGATATAAGCCATGCACACGTCGTGGACAGACGCTGAAAACAATGGCTAGCGTGAACGTAAGGGCTCGAAAAGATGAAAATTGACCTGTCTCGGCAAGAAAACGAAACTTAAAAAATATGAGAAAAGAATTATGAAAACGACACTTACCCAAGATTATTCGAATCAAGACTAATGCTTTGCCAAGTAATAAAAATTCTATTGTATTCCCAAAAGGGCATGGTTGATACAGAAGTCTCAAGCAGAATCGTACCATCGTTTCCAGACTTTTACTGTGCATATTTAAAAACCACGCGAACGAGTTTTTTTCAATATTGCAGAGGTCCCTTCGAATATACGTTTGTTTAACGAGCACCAGCGGATCTCGTCGGGATGGCTGCGAGAGCTCGACGTGTACGCTTCGTTGGGGCAGGCGAGGTTCTTCCTAGAAAAGCAGAAAGGAAACCCGAGTGCGGCGAGCGTCCCCCTTGGCCCGTCGGGCCATCCCAAACTGTCAGACGGACGGGTCGCTGCCGGGGGCGGAGCCCGTCTTGCTGCCGTCGACACCAGCACCGCCACCGTCGCCGTCGGCGCCCGCACCCTCTCCGCCCCTGTACGGCGAGCCGCCGGTCCCGCGCGCCGACAGACCTCGGAAATCCAGGTTGTACTGAAATACAAAGGCCCCGAACAACAGATTATCAAATGCACGAATCAGATCTTCGAGCGACTTTCAAGGTTTCCTTGTCGCGCAAGGGGTTGTTATAGCCTGGACGAAAGGTTTCCGTCAAGACCACTTCGATCCACTGCCCTTACAGAACACACAGTAATGATTCTTAAGATGAACACCGCCCCGGGGTTGGCACGTTCATCTTTCGTACAGTGGAGGCGAAACTCGATACCAGTATCGTATTCCAAACGTCGTCTTTCACGCTTCGCTGGCTCCAAGGGGGATCCCCCTCAGTTGGAAGGGACAGAAATGGTCAACTTAGGGATCACACGTGTTCATTTTGAGAATCATTGCTGTAGAAGGTCGTGTTAACCACGTTCAGCAGGGACTACTGCTTCTACTTAGATTCTTCCACACAAAGTTAACGAATGTCCCCATTTATACCTATTTCAGAGTAATATACATGTACTGATGATGGTGACGTGGTAAAATTGTCTTGTATTTTAAAATTAACCCATTAGATTGCACCCTATACATAGTACTTAAGAATCTGCAGGGCTGTGTTTATATCAGAGATCAAGACATGGTGTTAGAACACAAAATATTCTTTCAAATGCTATTATTTTGTTCCACACTGTATCTATGTACGTGACAAGAGGACAACGTGATTTTGAGAAGACGAAACCTTTCGTTCCGACTATAATTCACCCCTTGTTTGAAATATCGTACGAGAAATATTTTCGAATGCAGTTGGATTTATTAGCATTTACTATATTTTCTCCAGTATTATATAACAGTTTATATTACCAAACTTGTAGCCTCTTCTTGAGTATATTTACTTCCAACATTTCGAGATCAACTAAATCCAGAATATTATAATAATTAATTCCAAAATACTTTCGTACGGTATATTCATTCTCTGCTCATTAACCCAGGTGTTTTAGTTGCAACTCCCACAAAATGTCGTTAATGCGACTATCGATGGCCCCATCACCAAGAGAATTGAACAGCATTATTGCTTTGTTGTGTAAAAATACCTTAACAAAATTCAAAATTCATAAAGTAATGTTGTTCAATAAATCGACATTTGAAAAAGTAATTAATAATGGTTATTTCAGTACATTAAAGTGAACGTTATTTTTCGTAGTACTCAGCATGTCAGAATGCGATATCAATTGAACAAAAAATTCATTCTGTTACGAAACATTGCATTGCGCCCATTCCTGTAAAGACAGCTGAAAACAGTAGATTGATTATCAGTTTATCTTCGTGCTGTGGATTATGTTGTATATTGTCGCCATATAACTTGTTAATCGAAGCAAAGCTGTTGTGATAAAAAATGTCTGCAAAAATGTGGTAAGAAAATATTCAGGCCAGTTCACTACAGCGACAGAAATGCCTACGCGTAAAATGTTCCATGAAAATAGCGGCAACGAGAAAAGGTAAAAAAATATTTGACGAACGCAAATGACTGAAAACGATCGATCAATATTCGTGACACGAATACACGGTTCAATAATTTATTACCGATAAATTCTTTCGAGGCAGACGCCAAATGAGCTAGATGACCGATTAAATTAATCAAACTCGTCAGACTGACGTAACATTAAAAATTCGTTTGAACGAGTTACGGTGAAAAATTTAATCCCTCAAAATTTTGTTATAAAGATATTCCTTCTTGCATATTGCATAATTTCGACTAAATTCAGGCAACAGGATAATTCAAGAACGATATATTTCTCTTCAATTTTATCGAAACCATTAGATTTGATTAGCCTGCATCGTAGTTACGGAACGCTATGTTTCCCTGACGGAAGATCGCCCCGCAGGAGAGTCATTTCCCGGGGGACGCGTCGTTCGATCGATCGTAATTCGATTATTCGCCCTCGGTCAATCGCGACACCAAGAACAAACGTATAATGGTAACAACACCGCCGTAAGCAACGTTTGAAGCGGCAAAACAGACGAAAAAAAAAAAAAATAAAAATCGAAACAGAAAGATAAGTGGAAACCAAAGTCGAACCTGTGCAAAAGAAAGAACAGCGCTTCGGCGTGTGCACGTAGCATCGTGGCTGCGCACGTGAACACATGCGACCATCACGGTGCAACGAAAGTCTGTGTTATCTCGGTAGAGTGGCGTGTCTTAGGTGCTGCAGCTGCGCTTGTTGCAGCTGTAGCTGCAGTAACTGTAGTTTCTGTAGGCAATACGGTGCCTGTGGTCCGCAACTGGACGCCTGGACGGTTGACGAATACGGCAGGACAGAGGGATGAACGAAGGATGCGGAATTACGTGAACCACTGGCGGAACTCGGGAGTGGCAAGGTGGCGTTATTGAAAGGTGGAAAGTTCAGGCCAGGTGCTCTCAGAATGTTGTGTAATTGGGCAGAGGTTAAAGGATGGGGTTGCACGTAGGGACTGGTCGATGGTAGCAATTGGGGACTAACTGGGTACAAGCAATCCTCTTCGCCTAGGCCAGGCACCGTCGTTGGACTGAGCTCCACGTACTGAGGCATGGCGACATTGTGCTATTCGATGAATACATGGAAGGACATGTACACACTTTAGGCGTGGTATGATAGCATTGCGAGTTTTACGTTTCACCTGTGCGAATATTTATTGCGACGATTAATAATTGTAGCTTATTAAGATTTGTCTGTTAATAGTGAAATAACCAACGTTTATTATAGATAGCTGTCTAAATCCCTGGCTAAACCTACCGACACTTCATGTATACCCTACCAAGACCGGACAAATGAATTTATTTTTCTCTTTCACGAGGCAATGTACTTCTAATTTTTGCATTATATCTGTAGAAAGTTGTATTTTAAAAATCTGTAGTTAGTTCCAGAGAAAACCATTATTTACGAAAAAGAACAATTTTAACAAATTTAAACTTATTTTCAATTAAATATATAATCTATGATCCAGTATTCATCGTACACCAGTCGTGTGATCAATAGGAATCGCTGAAACTTCTTCAGGTACATAGCGTCAAAATAAATGTTAAAATAAACATAGAAGACAGCATAAATAATACTAGTTTATATGTTCATATGATAGGGGATGAAACACCCTTTAAAATGAGCGTTTGTACGAGTCGATAGCTTTATTAGTTCCGGAGATATGGCGATTTTAGTTTCAAGTCGATGCGGTGGCTAATTTCGGAGATATAAGGGTCCGAAGCGTTTGTTTACTACGGCCTTGTCAAGGCCGTTGACTGCACGTGACCGTAGTAAATAGTAAACGTGACGTCACTCATTCATTCGGTCAGTGGGTCAACGTGCGACAAGGAGGTCCGACGCAACGCGTTAGACGAAGACAGTGATAGTCGAATTAAGAAAAATTACCTTTTACATAAATTACGATATCTCGAAAACGAAAAGTCCAATCGACAAAAACAAAAAAGCATTTTAAAGGGGAAGGTTCACCGTTGCTAATGATTGCTTAATAACAGAGAAAACACTAGTAGTTTGGGAACTGCAAGCATCTAAAGTTTTAGTATTTTTATTACGCGTTAATGGGCTTTCGTAAGGCCCCGAGCGGAATTTAAAAAATTACCCCTTCATATAAATTACGATATCTCGAAAACGAAAAGTCCGATCGACAAAAACCAAAAGCCATTTTAAAGGGGAAGGTTCACCGCTTCTAACGATGGCTTAATAATGGAGAAAACACTAGTAGTTTCGGAACTGTACGCATCTAAAATTTTAGTAGTTTTAGATTACTCCTTTACATAAATTACGATATCTCAAAAACGGAAAGTCCGATCGACAAAAGCCAAAAGCCATTTTAAAGGGGAGGCTTTGCCGTTTCTAACAATACCTCAATAATTAATAAAACACTAGTAGTTTCGGAACTGTACATATCTGACCGGTCACGATAGGTTCAGTGTTAACATTTTTCTTTCGCGTAAAAAATATTCGCACAGAATGAACTGTTTATGAGTCCAACGTTTTACGCACAGCTACAAGTTTGTAAAAAAAATTTAAATATGCCTCTTGCCGACACAAAGCTGGCTACTGATAAAAAATATTGTTCAATCCTTCCTCGTGAACTCGGTAACAATGACTTGGAATCTTTACGACTACATATTAAAGCTAACATCGATCGTAATAGAATATCGATAACATTAACATTATTCAATGAAGCTATTAATAATCGTTTGAGCTACTAGACGAAAAATTATCACAGAGAGCAAAGACTGAACGTTCCTCCGTTCTCGAGCGCAAAAATAAAAATCAAAAATACTAAACAAAATACAAAACTGTAAAGTGAGTATAAATAGTAATCTGTCCAACTGATAGTTGAATTTTCGTGTGCGGCATAAAGAAATGATCAGGGCGGATGGACGCGTGTGCGTATCTTACCTTTGTGGCGCAGACGAAACATGTGGTGACCACTTTCGAAATCACGTTCATCAGATTCTTTGTTTCTTGTATTACGTTATCGACTTTTGTAAAGGTGGCGGCTTTTCCGACGGTGGGGTTTTTCACGGTGAACTGGAGCTGCTGGACGTACGTCGGCACACGGTCGAGGTTTTCCAAAAGTTCTTTCTTGTGCGGGCCCCCTGGTACCTGCGCCCATGTAACATTGTATACAAACTTACGTCGTTATTCGTGTCGCAAGGCAAACGCGTTCGTGTACTGTTTACAACGATTTTTCGTAAAAAATAGTGGTGATATTATATCGAAACATCTAATCAAGGAATATGGAACATTTCAATGTATTCATGTTATACAATTTTCACCTTCGAGCTAATCGGGTATACAAAACAATATTAATTTTATTAAAATAGAATTTCAGTTACTTTAATATCGCACTAATGTAATAAAAACTGGAATAATTCTTGGACAACAAAATTGTTGAGACTGGAAACGATTATGTTATACCTACATAATAATTATTTTAAATTAGTACCATGTGTGCTGTTTGATCGCAAAAAAGTTCAAGTGTATTTTAAATAATCGTTGAAAACCACCAATCACATTTGCCCTGCGAAATTATTCTTTGTACATATGTAGCGTTCTTTTAATAACTCTTCAAAGCAATGCCTGATTCTATTCTTTGTTCGTCGACTAATAGTAAATACTTTAAAATACGAATCTTGGATAGTTGTAAGATTGCATCTAATAAGTTAACAGAAAGATTCTCTATTCGTCCTAATAGAACACAATGCAAAAGATTGAACGGAAAGTGTAAATAGTTTGAGAAGAACATTAGAGAGTGACTGTGTGAATGACAGTGAAATAGTACAGACCTTGTTGTTTTTTGCAAGCTTCTCGAATGTTACATAATCAAACCACTCATAAGATTAAACTGAACAAGTGATCACAGCCAAGACGAAGTTGAAACAAATAATTCATAAGACAGAGGAAGCAGAGCATAGCAACTGTTCTTACGTAAATTTCAGACGTTGAAAATAAATTTTTTTAAACAAGCATCGATGCGTTAATTATGCGTTAATTGTGCCAAGGAGTAGCAATTTTCATAGGAACTTTACTTAATTTCAGTTTCATGACAACGATGGTATTTGAAACGTTGATAGTCTGATGCATGATCGTTAATTATTTAATGGATTTATACATTTTTAGAAATCTTCAATTTCATTTTCAAATTTTTCGTAGGAAATGTATCGTGATTTATGAATACATTTGTTTCAATGAATATGATGCATTGCGAACAAGTGCAGAAACTTCACCTTAGCTGCCGGTTAATAACAGTATTGATTTTTATGAATAATGAAATCGGAAGCTGGCAAAAACTGAGACATTAATAGTCATGCCCCAGAGAGTGGAAGGAGGGGGACCACAATGCACATAGACGTCGTCCACAGACGGAAGCATTCCCGTAGCATCTAAAACACACCTTACTAATCGTACACAAAAAAGTCATAAATGTATGTACACAAAATAGATTTACCAACAAAATAATGATCGTAGTTAATTTGATGGAGTGACGAGTGAAAAAATTCAGTAGTAGTTTATGTAATTTTTGAAACGAGAATCACGTTCTTGGAAAATATCAGTCGATAATTGACGTTGCATAAGCAAATTCATCTTCTCATCATAGAGATAAATCATGGAATACAGTATAAACCGGAATGTGATTCGTTCATCTCGACCTAAATAGTAGACTAACAGTAGAAAATAAGATACGTTGTATTCTTCGTCATTTCAAATTTCGATTACACGTGAAACTTGACATAAGAAGAATACCTCATACTACTTTTAATACTTGTATCGTGTGAATTTGTAGATGTTACTACTCGTCTGGTTTCACTCTTTTAACCAAATACAATATTCGTCCCGTTGAGTCGATTAATTTTCCCAGTACAATAGGTAGTACGGTAATGTCTGTTCTTAATTAATTCAATTATCCAAGGTAATTACGAAATTACTTTACTGTCGTAGCCGCTACAGAAACTGGCTGTTCCTTGCAACGTGCTTTATTCATTGGAAAAAGAAAATAGGTGTAGTTACGCTACGGTCATTCAAAAGAAACGATTGTTAGGGTGATCATACTAGGTGTCATGATCTTGCATAGCAACACTTGCGTATAATAAATACGTAACAATAACGTGTAGTGATGTAAGAGAAACGACAACATTTAACAGCAACTGGAACAATGAATTCGCAGAAAACGAGCGGTATGCACGGCAATGAGAACGATCTGTACAAGGTGAATATGATCTCTATGAGCCCAACAAGGGTCTAAAGTAAAGAGAGAAAGAGTTACCTGGATGGAGGCATTCAAAGAGCGAGGGTCAAAAAAGGGTTTCATAATACAGAATATATTACAAGGTTAGCGTTTTTGTTGATTTCTTTCAAGAAGAGTATAAAGAGATCAAAATGGTTTCAGGTAACTATATATATTCGGCCTAGCTAGGAGGGTCGAAAGGGCAGCAAACGTGTTAATTCGAACATGTCTAATGCTAATAACTCACACCGGAGCCACTTCCAATCCATTTGCAACATTATCGCTTATTTAGTACCATCATGGATTAACATCTATGTCCACGTATTTAATTAGACCAGCACGAAATAGTAAAATACGTTCCCGCGAGGAGAGAAACGTCGAAAAGAATAAATTTTCTGCATCGTTCGACGCTTGGATTCGACGTGGCTCGGTAGTCGCAATTACGTAAAAATGAAACTCAATAGCGAAATTCAAGGAAAAATATCTCCAATATAGCAAGGATCAAAAAACTCGGAGTCAAGTCCAGTATAGAATCCGTATAATAATAAACAACGGTAAAAAAGAATGATCATAAATAAAGGGCGATGTACATGTATACGCGTACGCACAGGCGTCCCTGTACATATACACGTATATACATAGCATCTCAACATCAGTCCAATTAAAAATGTGTATCACTTTGCAATTTCGTAGTATGACGGGTCGGTAAATGACACGTACCTGGTAGCTGAATTGTCTCACAACCTTGTACAATCTGTTCGCCTCCTCGGCAAAATACTCAGCTTGGGTGAACAGATCTTGGGTGGTCTTCAGGGCGCCCTCGCCCCTGGTGAACTGGTACATCGAGAACGCCATCGACGACATGTTCTTCGCCCGCTTCACGATGTCGTTGTTCTCCTCCAGGGCGCTACCGCTCTCTTGCCATTTCTCCGTTTCCGCGTCCATCTCCGATGTGATCAGCTTCATCTCCAGGCCAGCCTTTGCGATCTTCGCCTGCTCCTCGCTGTCCAATCTCACCGGTTTCAACGGCTTGCTTGTGGTGCCGTGTTTCTGAAATCAAATACACGTACTGGTCAGAACACGTAAACGCGACGTTCTTTATGCCTATTGGACTTTAGTATATTCAGTATTTAGTATAACTTACAGCTAAAATAAATACAGAATATATGTAAAAAAAAAAAAACACTTTTCCACAGTGACCGACGATGCTTTGAAAGAAAAATTATGTTCCGAGGAATGGTAGGATCTATACTTAACATTGCGTTGTAAATATCACAATTTCTTGCGTATCTTCATGGACAGTTCTAAGAATCGATTTGGCACACGAGATGCTATCGTCGCTCAAAATAATACTATTAACCTATTCAGGACGGGCGTCATACGCTTAAGCTCGGAGTAAATGTACGATGCTCGTTCTGAATGGGTTAAGTGTAGTCTCAATCATGCTTGGGCATTATTCGTAGGAAGCATTTGAAAAATGATCATTCGAGTGGTTTATTATCTTATTTAGCTAGGTGTTATTCAAAATAACCGTGTGTTAGTTTATCTGAACTGATCGTTATCTAGAAATTTTTAGACACTCCAGAGAATTATAACTAATATTTTTTAATCGTTTAACTAAAGAAAAGATAAAAATGTAAAAGTTCACTTACCCCTGGCCGTGGCAAGGACATATATACTTGCTTCTCTGGTCGATTTTGGTTCAATTCGAGCACATCTTTCGCCACCGTGGTCACGTCGGTCATGAGCCATTGCCACATGTCCGCGAATACTGAAACGCGCGAACGATACTTAAAATTCATCGTACAACGAGGGTGCAAGTCTATTTTGTTCCAATTTAATTACATTCTCAACGGCAATGATACGAACTTCCCGATGAAAAAAAGCTACGTTTCCGGATAAATTTCAATTTACCTTCCAGATTCTCCTTAGCAATTTTACTAGTAGGATGCCTTGCCAACGTATGCGCCGCTGTCACCACTTGGGGACCGTATATTCTCAAATTAATTTCCGTGAACTTTGCTGAAACTTGCAACGACTCCGAAAGCGCAACGTGTCTCAGCATTTTGCACACCTGTTAATTGACAATTTGTGGATTCCACGTAAGAATCTGAGCTACGTTGCTAATCAGTATACAATCTAATAAAATTTAGTGACGGTCTTAAAGTAAAGAAAATTTAGATTGAAGCGCGAGTCGAGGATAACATGCATCAGTCTTTAAATTTAAACGTTTACGTTTCGTCGTAAGATCGATCGTACATACGTATATCAAAAGGAGACACTCACTTCGAGGATGTGGTCGATGTACTCGTGGAATCTGTCGCTGCTCTCTTGGAGACGATTTATGTCGTTGGCCAAAGCGAGATTCCTGATCGTTGACACAAGTTCTTGGCCCGCTTTGGTTACCTGTCCGAGATCACCCGCCTGCTCCATCGTTGTCGCGCAGAGCTGTTGGCGAAGATCCCTGGTGGTGCGTAATACTCCCAGCATGGCTTGTTCCATTTCTGAACTTGGAGAACCACCGCCACCTTCGTAGTTCTAACAAAAAAACAATAATCATTTTACGGTTATCCCTATTCCTATCGATAAAGATTCTGTACCTGTTTGTTGAAAATTTCTTTCTCAGAATTATTCGAAAGAAGAAATTCACAATCTGTAGATTAGAAACATTTGCCCCGAACATTCTTTCGTCAAATTATCGGAACGGTTCATTTGAAACAATTTTATTCGAAACAATATTTTAAATAATATGTCATTTAATTTTCAGGTAACATTATTTCTGATATATCACAGTATATCCTTTTATTGTCTGTTAAAACAAGTTGTTGTCGGAGTATTTTTAAAAGAAAAACACATCGAGACGCGTAGTGGCTATTTTTATTAATGTTCCCGACGTTCAACGACAAAGAGGAAAATGCCCTTTTACTTTCTTTTTCAGAGAGGGAATTGCCTGGCTAGTCTCCTGTGTCTATTCACTAGTAGTAGGCTCTTATAACTGATTCAGTTTAGCCAGCTCATTCATTCGGTTTTACGCCGGAATGTCAGGCTCCTTTCAACTTGGACCAGGCCAACTCGGATTATCTTTCCACGTATAATCCGGTATTATACGAAATTTTTTTTGCGCCAAATCTACCCTTTAGTCCGATAAATTGTTCTGTCCGAGAATAACCATCATCGACAGCGTGATCCCTTCGTTTATCGAAAAATCGTATCGATTTCCTTCTGAAAACCACTAAACTCCGAATTCACGATGAAGTGATGCACTTCAATTAGTCAATGCAAATAACGGACATACATTCAATATCAATTTTCGTACCTTCAACGCGTACATATTTCCAGTAACATCAAATTACATTTGTCCTTTTTATATCGGCGAAAAAATATTTTTTCAACGACACAAAAAGATTTCTAGTTTCGTATATGAAATGATTCTGAAGTATTACATTTTATTATTATTTTCCAAGTTACTCCATGAAATAAGATAACGCAATGGTATTTGAAAAGTGAAAAAAAATAATTGAGACAGTGTTTCAAATAAAATTATTTCAAATGTGTCTAGTTTCGACACTTTATAGATGTTTCTTGCGAAAGACACGAACTTTGCTAATGGACTCAAAATTGTTAAATAGACATGGTCCTTACCATGCTGTTACCGATTCGCAGCAACGTATTCAGCTCGAGTTTCGCCCGATCGCAAAGCAAGAGGATATTCTCTCTGTGCTCGTGGCTGGTGTACGCGCTGTCAGTGAAGTCCTGTGTCCTTTCGACGACGGTATCGAGCGCAGAAGTGAGTGTTTCCCTACATCCGGGCCCTAGAAGGGTCATCCTTGTAGTTTCTACGAGTCTCTCGAAGTGTTTCAATGCGGAGAAAGCTGTGCTGCTGTCCCAGTCCTCTTGCTGTGGACTCTGGAATTAATTACACAGTCAGCTAAACTTTCGTCCCTTCCCCATCCCTTTTTCGGATTTACATGATACCATTTAGTCTTTGAAGGAAATTCCCTTTGACACTGCCGGTCAGTTTCTAAGGAGAGAAGGGATTACATACGTACGCATTTAAAAAGAAATTAAATACTAAAATCTATTTTATGGAAATATTTTGAAACAGTTTATTCTTTTTAGTCGTTTACAAATTACGTCACGCGGCATTAACCTGATTCTCACCCCTTTCCCTTTGCCACTCGTTAAGTTCAAAAATACTCTCTCGAAAAAAATTATGTCACCCGACTCCCACCCCCTTGAAATATATCACGAATATGAAAAAGGTAATTAGAAAAAAATTTATATTTCTCAAATAAAACCTACAAAATTAAATTTTTAAATGTATATTAACGTATTCATTTATGTTTGTTTATTGGTGATTTCTAAATCCTGATTAGCGAATAAAATTTTATGATTTATATTTATTCTAGTACAATCAATATATTGCTAATATTTGTGTTTATATTTTAAGCAATGGGAAGTACTTTTTTAAGGAAGCACACGTCGTGAATTTAAGACAGCATTACTCGCGTGCTAATAAATTATTAAGTTTATAGAGTGTTTACGTAGTAAACACAATCTAGTATTATTATATTATACGGAACTTTGACGTACGGTGTCTAAATATATTCTTGCCCTAAGGTTACCATACACATTTGAAGTTCAACCGACTGCATTGAACCAAGCGTAGGGCGCATTCAGCTATAAAATACCTCAACAGTGGCGATTATACATTTTTCTAGTGCAATTACTCGCACGAGATCCTTGAACGTGACCGAGCATCCCGCATTAATTTTTCCTCTAAAGCTTCTGGAATATCGGTTAATCTGCACGTAATAAATTCTCGGTCACTTTACATATTCTTCTAAATGGTTCGTTAACGGCCCTTATCAAACTCTGAGTCACAATTTTTTACAAAGTGGATGCTTTCGACCGTAATTAAAAAGAATTTCGATAAAACGGATAAAAATAATTTTAAATCGAATATAAACCCTCTACGATAGTAATTCTCAATATTTAGAGAATTGATCTCTGTTATTGGAAGTTACTGAAACCTGAATTACTGAACTACTGAACACAATTTATGAGCAGAAAGTGCTGTTCAGTATTAAAAAATCTTTTCGAAAATAATTTCGCTGTCCCATTCGTCAAACATTCGTTAGATAGAAATTATCGTTTGCGGTGGTCGCCACAGACCCACGTTATATGCGCCACATTTAATTCAGTTGTCGCTTCATAAGTTTCGCGGAAGTGGGCATTTTAATATCATTTAAACTAAATAAATTCCCCGTATCTAGACCATTGTTCTTGCGCGAAATTTGGCTGCCCTCCCGGTCCGTGGCTGGCAAGAAATTTAAATAATGTCGGTGCATTAATGCACTGGAATCGCGACGCTGCAATTTGGCACGTGCCGAAGAATGCCTTGCAACGTTGATGACATCTATTTCAGCGTTGTTTGCTATGTGTCGGCTTTATCCGCCGTACGATATCAATTTGCATTGTTGTCGATACATAGCGTCCATTCCCCACTAGAGAGATGCTCCTTAAATTTCGAAAATGCTCCGGTTGCGAGCTGCCCAGACGGTGTTGGCATTTTGCCTCGAGTACGGAAAATTTTGGAATATTTTGTACTTCCGGATGCCACGTTCCATCGCGCGTGTCGAATAAAAAAAAAAAATTTGTTCAAATCGTTCTGGAAAAATTATTTTCAGTTGCAGGGATCGATTACAATCATTTTTGGTCAATAGACATACCCTCGTATTTCTACGGACTTTCGAGAAAAAAATTCGAGAATGCTGAAATTTTTCGGCGAAAACAAAAACTTTCAAATCGTTCTGGAAAAATTATTTTTAGCTCCGGGGGTCAATTGCAATCATTTTTGGTCAATAAGCATACCCCAGAAATCCTACTCAGTTTCGAGAAAAAAATTATCGAACATATCATGTCTGACCATACCGTTGAGACGTTTCCCTGAAATTTCCTGCGTATGTTTGAAACATCATAACTTCTGAACGGATTGGAGGATTTTAATGTTTCAAAATGCAAACAACGCGTATTTTTGTGAAGAATATGCAGAAGTCCTAACATTAATTTAAATGAAAAGCTTCTTGGCATTTTTCGTCTTGTTTCGACTGCTTGGAAAAGTCACTATAGAAGTGATAGTTATTCTTCATGGTTTTGGCGACGATACGGAGATCATCTCGATTTCTCGTGTATTACTTTTGCTATGCAGCCAACGCTGCACAAGGTCACTGAAATTGTGCGTTATGGGTTAGTCGGGGATCACAATTTAGCGAACGAAAGCTCCTTGGATCCGTTCCAACTTTTCTCATGTATTTCATTGTAAACGCTTCATCCTCTGTCCTCGTATGATTTCTATGATTGTATGTTCATGTTTATAGGTAACGTAAGACGACAATAAACATCGTTGAGTGGCGCCAAAAATTCATGAAAGCAGGACATCGGAATGCTAGGATGGACTTATTAAACTGTACGTACTATGGGTCAAATTATTGCAAGATTTAGTAGATCGTTCAAACGAATATATATTATTCCTATACGAATAATAATTCTCACTTTTATGGACTCTTTCCAGCTCCATTCTGATACAGATTGTTCATTTCATCTTTGGTATTTATACGTAGTCATGATCGAGGATCGTGGTATAAAATTTCGGTTGCATTAAACAAGATTGCTTGTAATAAATTTATATGAAAATAGGTTACAAGTTGGTCTGTATTCTTATGTAGAATATTTTTTTAATCATCATGTTTGAATATAACTTTCGTACATTTCTTTTTTAATTTGGTTTAAAATACCTTTATCCCCCAGTTTATGGTTTTGTATATATTAATGCGATAAATAATACAGAAAATTCATACGAAATTTATTGCAAGATCACTTACTTGGGAGTTTGAGTACGATTGCGAGTCACTGCAGTCTAACACGCCGTCTTTCACAACGTAATGTATCAAATCCATGGCTCTTCTCATCTGACAGAACACGGTGTCCCTGTTCTCCCTAGCAGATGGACATTCCGGATGCCTCAAGCACGTTTTACTAGACGTGAGCAACATCATAGTACTCCTTTCCAAAACTTGACGTGCCGCAGCCATCTGCGCCCTTCGTCGCTCGTCTTTTAAATCATTCTGAAATTTCGAACAGTTCACTCCGTTTAGAAGTATTCCCTTTCACAATATTTATGATCAGTACGTTTCGTTGTTTTAATTTTTTAAAATTAAACGTTGTCTTATATTCGAATATAATTCCGTATAAAATTTGCTTCTTTTCTTGAGTTACGACATCAAAGGCTGGATATTCTTGACTATAGGTATACAAAAAGCACTAGAATTCCTTTATGTCTTTCTGTGAAAGTTATGACACTGGACATTCTGAAGGGACTGATTCTATTTCCACGACCAAATGTACCTTTCAGATGTTTTTCTCAAGCGAGTGTCCAACTTCTCTATTGATGCTATTTTTAAAGTACATGGTACACGATCCGTCAGAAAGTATTTCTGAGGAAGGGAAAGAAGACACGAGAATTTATTTATAAAAGTTATCTGACGGAGACGGTAAAAATGATTTTATATTGGGAGACGCAAAATAAAAGAAAAATAACCTTACAAGTTTTCCTTGAGTTAATATTTTAAGTTTTTAAGGAAATTCATTTGCGCAGAATGATCGTAAAATTATTCGACGAATTACTTACTTGGCGATCACCCGTCAGGTGTGCAAGCTCCACCATCTCTGCCCCAAACTGGCTGAATGCTTTCACGAATTCGGTGAAGTTCGAGACGCTTTCAAGGCGGCCAAGACTACGAGCCACCTTGTCCTTCGCAAGAAGGAGTTGCTTGACCACGACGATGTCAGCCAGCAGGAGAACCCTCGTGACAGAACCAAGAAGACATCTGGCAGCCCTGACGACAGAGCCTCGGTCAGCCAGGCTGTCCTCCATCGCACATTCGCATAATTTTTCGATCGCCGAGCCTGAAAAACAATCGTCGTTGCGTTTGCAAAATATTCCATTCTACATCGAAATCGCGTTGAAATTGTATAATAGAATAGCAACTGATTGTCACTTATTGTTAAGTAAAATGTCCATCTTTTTTTACGTTTAAAACTTCCTATTGATGAGGTTCATTTTTTCAATTTTCATGGAACTTTACAGTATTTTAAAACACACACGTATTTTTTAAATTGTGGCAGTATAAATTTAAGAGAAATTCGAAATATTAGTGAAACGTGGGGCTCAGATATTATAAGTGAGCAGTGCAAGACTGGTTAAAAAAATTGCAGGTGTAAGTTGAAAGTTGAGATCAACAATGATTTGTTAAAGGTTCGAATTAAATTGTACAGGAAGCAAACTGTTGGCGTTTCAAAATCAGCAGTGTCTGATCGTTCGATCATATGTATATAGAGAAGATACGGAAAATAGGCAAACCGAACGACAGCCCAACCAGTTGGAAAGACTAGAAGTCTCCATTTCGTTGCCACAGCGAAACAAATTGCTTCCATTCGTCGACTGCATATTGACCAATGGTTCCAATGGTTGAATGAAAATGGATCACCAAGGCCTATGCTCCAGCCAAGCCCCCGCCACGAAAAAACCATGATTACTGTACGGTGTGTTTTAAAAACCGAACAACAACCGACTTCGGAGAATAGAAAAACAATCGATCCTTCTTCACATTGTGAAAAATTAACGAGTTTTACCGCGTTCTCTATGCCGAGCGTATACGCCACCAATAAATTACCATTTTCATTAATATTTTAACGAGTTTCACAGATATAGAAAAGCTATTTGGGTTGAACAAATTGTCTCGATGGTTTGTTATTCACATTTATTATTAGTATTGAAACTATACAGTTATTTCCTGCAAAGAATGTTTTATTTATTTCAGTTTTTTTTTTTCAAAAAATTAAACTCGCGGTCATTCTCTGACCAGAGCGCGAGTGAATTTATCGTGGGAAAAATGGCGTTAATGGATTAAATCCTGCTGTTCCGATATAATGACGCGTCATCGAGAAAATAGCGCGAGAGTGACGAAATGCTTAGTGAAGCTTTTATATGACATACGTGCTCATCGCAGAAACAGAGATTTCTAAAATTAGAGCGCCGTAAGAGTGCGTAATTAAATACTCGTTCTATTTCCAACGGTCTTTCTCTAAATAACGCAATTACACAATTAGCTGAACCAAACAATGCAGTTATAATCATATTTTAAATAATTACAAGGCTCAATTGTTAATTTCAGATAAAAATTTGTAGAAAAATTGCATCGATTATATTTTATTTAATTTTCTTTTCATTTACTCTAGAAATAAGTTCTATTTTGTCTATTCTAAAGAAACTAGGATACATCATCACCACTACATTTGTAAATCGAACGGATGTAAAGAAATTCTACAAGTTACACGTGCCTGTTATTAGAATTATATGAAAACCCTTCAACGATAATCAAATTCTCGTGAACGCAGGCATTACGTTTTCAGCTCTTTGACAATTTCTGATATGCAGAAGCTCGCCTCCAATATCGTCGTGCCTCCACAATCGAATGTCCTTTCATCTCTTGCGATGAATATTTATCATCTTATGAAATGCGTTGAATATGTGATGAAGAATACCGAGTGAATTTTGATTCGCTCGTTTTTGGCGTGGAATTCTACACGAAAGGTGACTCTAATAAAACATCTTTTAATATTAAATATTGTATCCTAGTTTCGTCCCATAAATTGCACTCTGTTTGTATTGTTGTATTCGAACTTCAGCGTGTAGAAAGAAAGCCCACTTCGACGTTTTAGTATCTTATGAAATATACAGAATATACAAAGTGGGTTCAGGTGTTTCCCTGTAATAACGCGGCAAGACCATGTCTATAAAGTGCTTGTATCGTCCAATGCAATATTTCGTCTCGTCTGCAATACCGTATTTGTTAATTTGTTCTGCGCGACAGTGTTTCTGCTCCGTTTATTAAAAAAAAGGTCTCCTATATCACAGAAAAATAAGTTTCGTTCATTACGGTCTCGCTGTCGATTCTCTTTGTCGACGTATTTCTCTTTTTATAAAGAGAAAATATACGCTACGTTTGTTACCTTGTACAACCATATTCATAAAATAGACGTTATATTAAATATCAAGAACAAAGGAAAGTCGTTGGTTTAATGTAGCAATATTTTCATAATATTTTTTAAAGCATCGAATATATTACTAAATGACAAAGTCATTTCAGTATTTTTATTAGTATATTTCACGTTGCAGCTCATAACTGAAATTCACGAATAATATCGAAGCTTCTGCATTAACTCAAAATCTGTGTTGGAACTCTGATTTTGCGTGTACGCCCTTACAAAATTGTTTTAAGTTTAAAATACTTTTTTTTCACGAAATCGCGAATTGACGAGTAGTCGAAATAGAAGTTTTATGGAAATAAAGTTGAATTGTATTTAATAATCCAACGCATCAACAACGCTGCGTTCTGTAATTTCCTTTGGCGAGACGCAGCGTTCCTAACTTTTTTTTGACCAGGAGCGAAATTCTTTAATTTAAACTTGCGCGCCGAGAGATGTTTCGCTCGTTTCATTTTTCAGGTCTCGACGTCCGCGCTTTCTAATTACGTGGCATCGTAAAGCATCTAACCGAGAGTTTACGACCGTTTAATTCTGTTTCTTCGATATTAATTTTCATCCAGCCAACTTGATAAGCCGCGAGCCTCCATTTTTACGTAACCATTACCCGATTCACGAAAATCTCAAACTGTCTGACGAGAGTTCGTCCATTCCTACTTTTAAATTACATTGAATTCCGCGGTACACTTTGCTAATTAATAACCTGTCTCAGCATGCATAGTGTGGCCCTTTGCTTTCTATGGAAAATATTAAATTCATGGAAGAAATAATGATAATTATTTTACAAACAACTCAGAAAGGTAGTAACATAACTTATTTAATTTTCGGTATTACGATTCATGTTAATACAGACAACAAATAATTTCTCTTTTGAAACAGTTTGTTGATGTTAATTTATACGCTAACGAACGTACATCACTGTGAGAATGCTCTGTCTTATAATAATACATAGTTCCATAGTATTAATTCAGCTCTTGCAAACTTCAACGTATTCAGATTTGTTACTTGGCCGCCCAGCTTTGGCGATAAATAAACCTCAAACTTGTACTCGTATGACACGAACGCGCCATAAATTCTCTGATTTTGATCTCTGGTAGAAGTTCAATTCCAGAGATCAGCTGGCAACCTATGTATTTTATCATATTATCACATTCTTTTAAATCAACGCGTATGTATCCTTTTCTGGAATACTATTGTTGGTCCAATTTTCTTCTTGTATGCAGGATCACACCTGACGATCGTGACAAATATTTTTCTTACGCCCCGTACGTGTTGATGTGCTTTCAGTCAGCAACGAGCTGCAGTTTTCTCTTCGTTTCTCAGCTTATTACAAAGTTTCACGCGGCCGTCCAACTTGGAAGTTCATACTTGGTTACCCATCAATTTTTACGTCGTATCTATGCTGGAAAGTGAAGTTTTCCGAGAAACAGGAAGCCCCTCGCAGCGACGAACGAAACTTCCACGGCATTTACAATTTCTTAATAGAGTCCATTTCATTACTCGTTTAATTTGAACTTAATCCTTTCGATTATGGCGCGTTAAACGCACCGCATCGAACTTTAAACGCTTTAAAGCTAGATAGGAAACAGTTTCTGCACGAGAACCAACTTAAAAATAAGCAATCCAATTCCGAAATATGTTTCGTTCTTCTGATTATTCGCTGTACCGTGTATCGATAGGCTTCAAGGTACTTGAAATTATTGAACAATTTTGCACAATATCGAGAGGGCTGAACAAAATATCGTACGAAATATTTGTACAAGAATTTTCGCTTGTACCTCGACATAAATACGATTTATTGAATTATCGATTAATGGTCGTACAAAAATTGAGAGTCTTAGGATTAATAATGCCGAGGAAGTTTAACGAAGCGTTAGCTGATAGCGTTTTTATATTCGTTGATCGAACCAAGGACCGCGGACACGAAGCAAACGAAGTAGAAGAGAAGATACGGCTTTGGATTCGGTTAAATCATCCTCTTACCTTTCTTTACTCTTTTCATCCTCCGCGATCAAGTAACAAACTCTCCATATTTCACCACGACACCGACATCCTATCGATGGGCTTCCAAGAGCCCGCTTCTTTCGGGTGGAATTAATTTAAATTATTTGTTTATCTCCAACCAGTAGCGCGAGTTTTAAAAAGAATCTGATCGAAGAGCGCGTACAGTTAGAGCAATTACAGCTTTCGAGAGTATTTATTTTCAAGAAGCTGATATTCAAAATATACTCGACTATGCAACAGAGAGATTATTTAAGTATGAGATTTTTTGATAAAAGTATAAGAAAGTTTAATTTTATTGTAATGTGATTCCATTCCTATTGAAATATCTTAAACAAATTCATCGTAAACTTTCTGTGCACGTTCAGTTCGCTGGCTGATTGGAAAATGTTGCTCCAAATATTCGAGAGATTCCAGCGCATCGGTTTTTGGATTCTTCGTCCGGCATTTTGCACTCTGATAGTAACCTAGAAGGCATAGCTGTGTAACGTAATCAGTTCAGCTGCCTTGATAGCGAAACCTTACGATGCTTTATGCAGATTGAGTATCAAGTACGCCATGCAATCCCCCTTGACCCAATTTAACAATCGCAGAAGTACATTGTTTCGTCCTGACTCGATATCGCCTGAATTACAATGTTTTTCCACCGTGTCTACCTAATAAACAGATCGTTCCCTGAAAGCGAAAGTCCGCGTGTCAATGTTTACGTTTCAGTTTCAGAAACTGCAGACGGGACAGCTATCGAGTTTTCTTTACATTTCTTCCCGACATCGGTTCCATGATTTTAAGAATTAGGACGCGACTCCTAAGCGAAACGAGGTTTTCTTTAAAACTTTACAGACTCTCTTAAAATCACACCT